ATCTATCTATCTACCTCCCTACCTACCTACCTACCTACCTACCCACCTACCTATCTATCTGACTATCTATCTATCTATCTATCTATCTATCTATCTAGCTGTCTTTCTATCTTTCTCTATCTATATAACTATCAGTCTGTCTGTCTACCTAGCTAGCTATCTACCTAACTGTCTTGTGCATACGTTTGTACGTATGTATGTACGTATGGCTGAAGGTGTGCATGTAGGTAGACAGACATGCACGCATGCATGCATTGTATGCATGCAGCGGTCAGACTGCATACATACACCTAAACCTGCATACATACAGAAATAGATAGATGCATCGATGGATTGCTGGATGAATGGATGGATGGATGGCCAGGTCAGCTCGGTAGCTAGCTAGCCGGCTGGCTAGCAAGCCAGCAAGCTACAAGTAGCTCTGGTGTACCTATCCAGGTGTGCATATCAAGACAATGTGCAGTCTGTGAGTATGTACTGTATGTATGTATCGATGGATGGATGCAGGCATGCGTGTATGCATGTATGCATGTAGGTGCATGTAGGTGCATGTAGGTGCATGTAGGTGCATATAGGTGCATGTGGGTGCATGTGGGTGCATGTGGGTGCATGTGTTTACGTATGTATGTATGTCCGTACGTAGGTACGTATGTATGTATGTATGTATGTATGTATGTATGTCTCTTTGCATGTGTATGCAAGGGTGCATGCAGGTAAGCATGCAGTGAGCAAGCAAGCAAGTAAGTATGTATGTATGTACGTATGTTTGTAGTTATGCATGTATGTACCGCTTGGCTGCCAGAGTGCCGATCATCACCTCTTTCCCGATCGACTTCCTTACTCTCCCATAGCTGGATCTGGATATCTAGAATCCACTTCTCTTCGCGCTACGAGCTGGAGAAGTCCGAGAGTCGGCTGCGCTCGCGGGTCAGGTCGACAGCTCCTGGTCCCTCCGGGCCCTCGGCCTGAGGACCCTCCACCTGTGCGAGGACAGAGAGCCTCTGCATGCCTTCCCACCCCATGCTTACATATCTTACATTTTTGAGGCTTCGGGCGTCTGTGTGCCACACGTGCCTGCTCGACATCCCCCTCACCCTTCGGCAGAGCCTTCAAAAAAGCTTTGCGCTGGTGGAGACAATTGTCTTGCTTGCGTAGAGCTGGCTTTGACAAGGAAGCACCACATGTCGCACGCCTCCGGCGGGTAGAGCGGATTCATCGCACTTGCCTCGGATTGCACGCATGGCGCAGGCAACCCGAAGCTACGAGTGTCCCAAAGTCACGGCAATTGTTGCAGCGTAATGGAGACTGCAGGTGCCGGCAAGGTACGATTACACTGAAAGGGATCACTCTCAGGAACCCCGGCACGCTGACGCCCGTGACCTCAACCTGTACAGAGAGCCACACAGCCGGCGGCATGGCCAACTTCCTGGCTGCGGCGAGCCTCCTGCTTGGCGGTGTTGACCATCTCGACGACAACTTCTACCCTCTCGCCAGTGCTTCGCGAGTTATAACCTGCAGGAGGCGACCCATTGGACAAGTACCGCATGCGTCTGTGTCATCGCCTCATGTTGCGACAGCACTTCTCGGACCATGCGCCCCTCTCCCAGCATGCATGCAGCTTGACTGGAACACTTGGCGATCTCGCTCAACCAGTTCCTCATGCAAGCCGCAAATGTGTGCGTCCGGCTTGATCCAATCCGGCATCTTCCAATTGGTTGGGAGCGAACTCCTTAGCATGCATGCAATGCGCGCGGCAACCCCACCGAGCATGAGCAGTTCGGCAGCATACTTTCTGAAAACAAGCCCTTACAATGGTCATGCAAACACCCGGTGAGACAATTCGAAGCTCCCTTGTCCCTCTTGCAACTGTGCCCCTGGCAAAGCTGACGTTGGTGCTCCAGGCATTGGAGCCCGATGGTGGGAATTGATGCCTGCTGCCAAGGTGTACGACCTCGCCTTGTCAGTCTCTGCCGGTGGAGTGGCAACCCCGGCCTTGCGATGAAGCCACCCGCGCCCCCCGGCCCATCAGCACGTGCGTGAGGTTAAGCGACGCCGGCTTGTGACCCTGCCAGATGGACGAGCATGTGCATGCACATGGGATGCATATGCATGCAGACATACACATACACATACATGCATACAGACAAACAGAAATACAGACATACATACCCACCTACATACATACATACATACGTACGTACATACATAAACATGTAGTTGCAATACATACAGACATGCATATGCATCTTCACTTTAATGTGCATATGCGTATTCATGTACATATACATGTACATATACATGCACATGCACATATACATATACGCCTACATGTATACCTGTATACCTGTATACATGGACATGCACATATGCATGTATACATGCATACATATACTTGTATACATGCATACGCATAGACAATATATATATATAAGAACACATGTGTATATATATATATACATGTAAATACATGGTCATATTAAAATACATATGCATATACCTATATATATATATATGTGTGTGTGTATATATACACATACATATACAAAAAGAATACATACATACTCGTGTGTATATATATATACATAAATATTATACTCACACATGCGTTTACAGAACCACGGAGACACGAATATGCAGACACGCAAGAAACGTCTGCACAAGGCTTCGGATATGTGCGCACAGACATGATGAAACGTTGCCCTCCGATCCTTCCAAGTCGAGAAAGGTCGAAGTCTGCAAAGACAACGACTCCATGCCTCGAACCCATCATTGTGCTGTTACTTTCCTCCGGGCCCCCAAGCTGCACTGCTTGTTCAACTTCCCCCAACCCTAAATAAAGCCGAAACCCAACCCCCCCAGACGCTAAACCCAGTCAGGGCTGGTTTTCGTCTTCATGGAAACCCTCTGTACGCAAATTATTCGGCATCGGCCTCCGATGTGTCGGGTGGCATGTCCCCAGCCATCCTTTGGGGCTTTGGGGCTTTTGTGATACATCGGATCTTTGGATTTTGGCTTCAGGGGCTGGGGTTTTGGAGGGCCTGGGGCTTTTGAGCTTTGGGAACAAGTCGGATTCAGGATTCAGGAAAGTTCTGTGGATCTGAGGCTTGTGCTAGAGAGTCGGGTCTCAGACTTGAGTCTCGCGGTTGGAAATGCGGCCCCGATTTGTGGCTTGAGAGTTGTGGATGTCTGAGTGTCGCAGACGGATCGAAGACACATCACAGCTCGCTCCAAAACTCAAAAACACCAAGCTCCATGTCGTCCATGTATGTCCACATCATCCCTGTGCGTGTGCTTGAGTACGAAAGTGTGTTTCCTGACTGCTTCGCCCAGCCTTTTGATGCTGCCAGGGTTACCGCCAAGCTTGCTCCTGTCTCGCCAGCCGCTTGCAATCAGAAACAACGCTCGCTCAAGCAAATGCCGTGAGAATCGCCTTAGCATGGTGCCTGCAGCCCGGAAACATGCTCTCTCATCCGACAAAGCTCAGCGACTCTTAGGCATCTCTCCAAGAGTCAAGCTCAAGACCAGACAGACTTCTGAAATTTCTCAAACCCCCTTCGCTTGGCAGTCTTGCTTCCGCCGCCGCCACCCCAGGGCATGGTGGAAGCGGTGCCGGGCCACAGGTGGCCAGTTGAGGCTTCAGATGGGTATATTGGGCTTCTCTCGAACCCCCTTCTGCAGTTTGCGGAAGTCCGTTTTCGTGAAAGACGGTCTTGGGAGCTTTATGGAGCTTTACTTTGTCTGGCTTCAAGCATGCAGGGACTGTGCTCAGGGGTCGGGGATGCCGTTTCTAGGACGCGACATCTCCAGTCTCCAGAAGCTGCAATGAAACGATCTCGATGCTCATGTCGTAGAGCTCTGGAGCCAAAGCAGCACCGCCGGGACGAGCTTAATGCTCACGAGCATCGTCTCGCAGAAACGGAGTCTTACAAGGACCCTTCATGCAAACTTATACCTAGAACCAGCCATGGAAGGCTTCCTTGAAGCATGGACCAAGTCGAACCTCGAGCTCGCCCTCGTGGCGGAGTCGAGGAATCGGAAGAGGACCTTGGGTCTCGGGTAGCACTGTCTCGGGTAGCACTGGGGTGCCCAAAGTATGCTTGTTTTGGGTGCCAGGCGAATCAGCACCACCTCCCCACTCATGATCCTGCTCCACCAAAGTCACCTGCGAAGCAGGTGTGCCCCATCTGAAGCATCTGCCCACCATCAAGTCAGGCTAGCTCCTTTTTGCCAAAATCCGGTGAGCTGCCAGCCGTCAGATTTATCGTGCCATTGCTCAAATGAGCAAGCACCAGCTAGCGCTCACGGCAGGTCGTCCACGATAACCTCCTGAGGCTGCAAGCCAAATGAGTGGGTAGCTATGACGGTAGGCTTCTTTAGCAGCGGTTCCCACGTGTGGGAGTGATACAGTAACACTTGCAACGCTGCTCCGCCGTGACTGCAGTGGAGGTTACTCAAAAATCTGCTTGTGCGCTTCGACTGAAACTGGCTCCAAGAGCCTGGAATGCACAGAACCGGGGCCACTCCAGTCGCGCCTCTTTCTCAGGCTCCTCCTCCACGACCGGCTTCCCATCGGGCGGCTTGGTGCTTTTGAGCGCGACGCGCGAGGCTAACGATTCCCTCCTTAGCCACAGTACCCGGCTTGGTCCATCGACGGCTCTGAACCTCTGCCCGAATCCCCTCCCGCTGTGATGAGGTCAAGCCACATCGACTTTGGCGTCACGTCCAAGAGCTCCTCTTCACATTCACCCCCGATGCGCCCCCAATACCTAGCTTCGGTAGCTCGGCTCATGTCAAGGATTGCTACAATCACGCGCCTACTGGTGGTTTCCACAGGTCGGATTCCAAGGACTTCAGCTAGACTTTCACTCATGAACGCGATGCCACCACAAGACAGCTCGCCCCTCCTTGGACATGGTGCGCAAAGCCGCCCAGACTGCATCGCTCCTGGATGAAGTGCAGGGCATCTTAGTCTAACTTGGACTACTACTACTACTACTACTACTACTACTACTACTACTACTACTCCTACTACTACTACTACTACTACTACTACTACTACAATATAAACAGGAATCCTAAGGAATGGTCTTTCTCATTTTCTGGGGGAACTTAGAATTGCAGGGTCTTCTCACAGAACCAAACCTTTTGACCTGTGTTGATTTTGAGTCCAAATGCAGAGGACTTGTTGTTCGACCGTTCACGCTGCCACGACGACGACGACTTCGACGATTCCGAAACACACACACACACAAGCAGCAAGGCAGAAGGATCTTGCAAATTGGGGTTCTGGAATCCCCTGCTACAAGTCGACCCTGGAAAACTACGCTGCCGGTCACTCAACAGTAAAGACTCCAGACTACCGCAACTCCTAGAACCCAAAAGCTTGAATTCTCAGCTAGAGTGTTGTGACGGAGAGAGAGGAAGGGAAGCGAGAGAGCGAGAGAGCGAGAGAGAGCGAGAGAGGGAGAAATGGAAGAGGAAATTGGACGTAAACGCACGTAAGTATGTAAGAAGGCAGTATAGACTGAAAGACAGCACAGATCACCAATTCAAATACACCTGCATCTGTGCATCTGCGCCTCCGCCGCCACAAGAAACGCCTAACCCCGCCACGCCAAAAAACAGAGAAAACATTGTCATTATTAATGGGGCTGTTGTGGTTTCTGCTGCTATTTTGAGTATGGTCACGACTATCATTACTGGTGTATTACAAAAAGACCCTAAACCCTAAACCCTAAACCCTAAACCCTAAACCCTAAACCCTAGATGACGCACATGTTGCACTCCCGGAGCCCTCCGTGGCCGGGCCTTGCTTCAGGCCGCTCTGCCAGCTTTGCCAGGAGACCCTGAGTTTAGGGTTCAGGGTTTGGGGT